CACAGGAGGAAATGGACTCAGATGTTAATTTACTTAACCAGGATCAGACAACTAAGAAATAGCAAACCTAAGATGTCTGTGCATGATGTGTTCTCAGTTGTATGCGACTGAGACCCCACGGACTTTATCTAGTCAGGATTTTCTGTCCATGGGGTTTCTCAGGCAAGAATACTGGAGTGGGTTGCCATTCCCTTCTCTAGGGGCTCTTCCCAAGGACTGAACCTGTGTCTCTTGTGTCTCCTGCATTGGCAGGCAGATTCTTTACCACTAGCACCATCTGGGAAGCCCATGATGTCTGAAATACAGTATGACAGTACTTTGTGTACGATGATCCACTTTTGTAAGAAGAAATACATATAGATATCTAAACTTATATATGTGCATATAAAATGATTGGAAAGAAACACACCAAAATATTAACAGTGACACGGTGAATTATGGGTGGTTTTTATTTTCTCCTTTTTGCTTATCATTATTTTCTGAGTTTTCTGTTAAATTTTGGGGCTGACTTGGAAGAAGTGAAGCCAGGAGGCATGAATTACTTGTGTAATTTTAAAGATGGCTAAATTTTTTAAGTTTGTTGGTAGTGTGGAATAGTGACACAGATATGAGGGAAGTGTTTTTAGGCTGAGAGAGGAAAAACTAGCCAGGAGGGAAAGCTTGCCCAAAGGGAAAGAGGATGGCCAAGTGTAGGAGAAGGCAAGAGAACCTAGTGTCAAGGACACAGCTGGAAGAGGAAACCTGAGGAGGGAGTCCCTTGCTCTCTGGAGGCTGAGGAGTGGGGGATGAGCAGGCAGATGTGAAAATGCAGTGATCCAAGGACACGCAAGGTCAAGTACCAAGAGAATCGAGAGAATCAAGGGAGTTCCTGCTTGATGACCTATGTCCTGTCATTGAAACTCAAAGCTTGGCCCTCAACTGAGGGGTTGGGGTCAGGGTGAGGTTGGGGTAAGGAATCTGAGGAGAGGGAGAGGATTTGAAACAATCGCTGAGAGAAATTTGATACAGATATTTAAAAGGACTACCTTGTAGTCCTTGGGGCCCTGCTGAGGCTGGCTGGCCTGGCTTTGTAACAGAGCCAATCTCATAACCTTCTCCAGCAATAGTTAGCAGGCTGGGAGTGGGAGGTGGAGAGAATGGATGGTGGGGTTTTCACAGGGCTGAGGATTGGCAGAGCAGGTGCTATAGAAGGTCACGGGGAGAGTGAGTCCAGAGATCAGTGCTAGCACGGCTAAGATGGCTGATCACAGCACCAGCTTGGAAGGAGGAAAGGAAGCCAGCAAGCTACTGATGCCTCTGGGCGAGGAGTGGGAAGGAAAGACAGGCTGGTGGTCCTGGCAGCAGAGTGGTAGAGGGAGACCCATACGAGGTCAGAGAGGGTGTTTCTGAGTTTGATACTGTATGTTGAAATGGTCCCCTTATAGTGCCACTTGGAGTAAGTGGAAAGGAGCAGAAAGTAAACTGCACATGATACAAGGGTGAAGATAGCATTAAAATAACTACAACCTGATGAAGGGCCATTTGGCAATATCTATCAAAATTATGTGTGCCTTCCTTTTCATCCAGAAATTCAGCTTCGAAGCATTTATCTTACAGATAGACACACTTACTTACTTTGGCGTAAAATGAATGCATAAGGTTGAGTCATTCCACACAGTATGTAACCTCAACGGACTGGAAACAGCCTAAAAGTCCCCCAAGAGTGATTTGGTTCCTTAAAGAAACTGTAGTTCTTCAATGGAATGCTAGGTAGCTGGGAAATGGAGGAAGCCCTTTGTGTGCTGATATAGAATGATGTCAAATATTTTGTTAGCTGAAAGAAGCAAGGTACAAATCACTGGAAATAGTTCTCAATCTCTTTGCTAGCATGAGTAAAACATCCCAGAAAGGATACATAAAAAACTGTTAATGTTGATTGCCTCTGAGGAGGGGGAGCTGTTGGCTAGGTGACAGGGTTTGGAAGGTGACTTTTCACTTGTCCTTTTATTTCGTACTCTTTTTATTTTTTTACTTTATGGAAGTGTAACTACAAAATAAAAATTGTGTATATTAAAATAATACAACAGTATGTACCTTTTGAATTTTGAACCGCAAGGACATATTACTGAGAAAATTAACTAAAAACATTATTATATGTAGAATCTCTTTTATAGATACTAAATCATTTTTTTTAAAGCACAAAAAAGTCCCACTAGGGATTTGCTTCAAATTAGTCACTTTGCCAGGGTCATGGGTGGGAATTTGAATGAAATTAAATTACGTGTTGATAATCACTGAAGCTGGGTGTTGGGTATATGGGGGTTCATTTTCTTTTGAAACATGAACTTGTCATTTTTGTAGGTCAAAAATTGTCACATTTTGACAGTTTTATGTGCTGTTAAAGCCATAAAATGTTCTCATTATTAAGCTAATGCTGTTCTCATTATTTTTATAAATTTTCCCTAATATAAAAGTTTTCAGCGAAGGGGAAAAAAAGAGCTCCCACCAGGCCCTTGGTAGGAACATTCAGGTACTTTCTCATCCTGGCTCCTGTATCTAATTATTGAGTGGAAATTCCCATTCCCCCATTGACTTCTGAAACAGCAGTACTGCCTTGTTGATTTCCCTTTATTATGGAACCTGGTACTGTTCTCAGGATTTTTCCTATTAACAACAATCTCTCCCCATCCTGTTGTGTGTTAATTGGGTACTACCTTATCCTTATTGCTGGTAAAGTTCATCCTGTTCTTCAAAAATCACTTCTTTAGTTTCTTATGATCACTTAACATCCTCTTCCTGCCTCACAGTCTATTATTAGCAATCCTAACTAATTTGGGGCCATGCCTGTATGTATCCAGGCTACTTATATTAATCAATCTAGGGGCTGATGTCTCTAGGACATTCAGTATACCGCACCATAAAGTTCATCCTTGTGTTCAAGTGGGCTTTCAGCTTCTAGTGTTTTTGCTTATGCCTGCACTTCAGAGGCTATGGTGATTTGGGTCTGGTCCCTGACACCTGATTATCCAGGCCTTTTTTTCTGTCCTCAGAAGGCAGGTGACTTTCTCTCGCTGTCTACAGGCATCTCTTCTCTATAACCCACAGTCTGTTGGTTAACTTTGCTTACATGTCCCATTGCCATCCCCAAACCTAATTAGTTCCCCCAACATTAAGCTTCTCCTTTACCTCCTCTGTAAAGAGCCTTCTCTGACCATCTCATCCTAGGAAGTCTGGTTTTAGCATATCTCCTCTCTGCCACCCTTTACCGCACTGAATTGTCCTGGCCTCTTTTTTTGTCCTGCCAGCCCCAGACTCTGAATTTCTGGATTAAAGATGGAGACCATGTCTTGTTCTCCCTTGAATATCATACCTGTCACAGCATCAAACACAATAGTTAAATGCCCGAAATAATATTTTTTAAATTTTAATGTGAAATATTTTCAACTTAAAGAAAGTTGTCTGCAAAGAGAGTAAAAAGAAATTTCACATACTCTTGATGAGGATTTATCTATTGTTAGCATCTTGTTACATTTATCATTCTCTCTCTCTTTCTACACACACACACACACACACACACACTTTTCTGAAACACTGCAAAGTTGTAGACAACATGTCCCATCACCCCCTAATACTTCAATGTATTTCCTAAGAACATTCTTATATAAACACAGTTAAGTTAGTAAATTCAAGAAATATAACATTGATACAGTATACCATTACAGTTAGTTGTCCCAAGAATGTTCTTTTTTGCTATATTTGATAACCTTTTGAATTCTGTGGTAATAAGCCTGTAAGTCTGAAATTGATATTTTTCATGCTTCACACCTGATAAACTGATCAAAAAGCCACTTTGTCAAGACACTTAGTCACTGACTTTAATTTTACTTGAGCTACATAATATTTGTCTAAAATTGTATTTGCACTAAATGTGGGTCTGTCTAAAATTGTATTTGCACTAAATGTGGGCCTGTTTTACTAGAACGATGTATCAGGGAAGTAAAGAATCCAGCTGTTACTTTCATATTGAAATAGAATGTTGATTCACCTGGAAACTATAAAAATGTAAATCAACTATACCTCAATTAAAAATATTTTTTAAGTGGAAAAAAAAAGCAGCAGTGGAATGTTGATGTTCCCTTGTGCTCATTTTTGGGTCTCCATCAGTAGTCTCACTGAGGCAGCCAGGAAGGCACCATTTAACAGTAGGGACTCATTAACAGTGTGCTCAACCCTATGCTAGATACAGGGGAGAGGGAACATAAAGGAGCTCTCCCAAGGAGCTTCCAGTCTAGGAAGTAATGTGGTAGCCACATAGGGAACAATGAGCAGAGCAAAGAGAAGGCTAGCATTTGCTAGGCACCTGTTAGGTGCCAGACACTTAAGAAACCCTGTAATGCAGGTATTATCCCCATTTGCCCAAGATCACAAAACTAGGAAACAGTAGAATTAGGATATGAACCCAGGCCCTTATGACTCAAAATAAGAGAATATGAGGCAGCTTATAGTCATGTGCTCTGGGCCAGATGAGATGAATTAAATAAGTCTCAGTGAGATGCATGAACCTACAGAGGCCACGCTGGGGACTTTCTGGGAGAGAGAGTGTGTTGGGATGCTGACAACCAGCAGCAGGTGCTCCCATCCCAAACCCCCTTAAAACCTGCCTGTTACGACTGCCTGTTCTCACTGGAGGGCTCAGGCTCTGTCCACCTCCACTTCTGGTGGACTTGGGGAGATGAGGAGGGGAAGCTGGTTCACATTTCTACATTCAACTCCAATGGCCCCCTCTCCAAGGCTAGTTGAACTGTTTATCTTCCAAGTGCCTTGACCTCCTGGGGGCAATTTCTCTACACTTCTCAACATCAGAAGCACAGCTCCCTCTGAGCCGAGAGGAGCCTTTTGCTTTACCACAGGACCCCACACCCTCCTGACCTGTCCTCTCCCACCCACCTAACCTTATGCTTCTTTTTGCATGGAAGGTATGACAGGAATTTAACATGTTTGTGCTTTTTTTTCCATGACAGGGAGAAGAGCTGGCTTAGATAGATGTAGAACCGCCCAGTCTGCTTAAGGCATTACCAACTGAATAGCTTAGTCCAAAACATCAGTTCTGTAGATTAAAATTTGAAAAAGGACATATGCATTCTGACATTTTTTCCCCAATGAAGAAACTAAGATGGAAAAGGAAAAGTTTGTTCCTAAATCTGTAGTTCTAATCCTCGGCAACCAAGGAATTATGGTGTGTGGGGGTGGGGTTCTCTTAAAAGAAAAATTGGATAAATAAAGGGTTTTGTAGGGTACTTAAAAGAAATGCAGGATTGTGCTTGATGTTTGTTAACTTTTTTATTTTGAAATAATTATACTCATAGGAAGTTGCCCTTCACCGTCTGCCCCAATGATTACATTGCACATAATTACAGTTTCATATAAAGACCAGAAAATTGACATAGGTACAATGTCTGTGTATAATTCTATGCTCTTTTATTACATGTATAGATTCACCGCAATCAAGACACAAAACTATTCTGTCACGACGAAGATCTCCCTGGTGTACCCCTTTATAGTCACACCTACCCTGTCACCCTCCACCATCCTTAATGTCTGGTAACCACTAATTTGTTCTCCATCTCTATAATTGTGTACTTTTAAAAGTATAGTTTCCTTTAGGAAATGGATTTGCACTCTAGTTTTCACAGAATCTTAGGTTTGAAGGAATAATGTCTCCAGGCCAGTATCCCTTCCCATGCCCAAATTTTGTCTACCACCTCTCTTCTAAGTGTCCAGCCAGCCCCTATGACATACAAACCAGAACCTTCTCCAGGATTTTAGAATGTTGAGGTATTTCATATAAATATTTAGAGCAAGGATATTGTTTCTTTCCACAAATTTATTCAGTTAGCAAAACTCTTACCTTTAGGTTAAATATTACAAAATACCCTCTCACCTGCCAATTTTCTCATCACACACTGAGAGGAATGAAACACTGGAAACCTGAAAGGCTCACAGAAAATTCCAGAAATCCTTTAACTACAAGTTAGCCTGGCTCCTAGCAATTGGGGCCTTTCAAATGTATGTGGTTCATGTGTGGAATTTATTTCTTGGGCTGATTGTGTGTTATCTACATGGTATCTACAAGTGTCATTCTGTGAAAGAATCTTACTGTAGCCCAACTCCCCAGGACTCCCTTGTGGGGAACAGAGTTTTACAGGGCACCATATAGCTTGTTTTAAGAACATTAGAAAATAATGATAAAACCAGAAGGGGCTGGCAGAAGTGAGGCCACGGGGATTCCACAGTTAGGATTAATCTGAATCCCCCACCTCCTCTCCCCTGGACAGTTTTGAAATCTTTTCACAAGTTTAACTTATTTCTTATAAAGAGCACTGTGCTCTCCTTAACTGGACAGTAGCACATATATAAATCTAGACTCAGCCCCATTAGGATGTGCATTTTGGAATAAATGACTTCAAACTAATGGTTCCCTCCATAGCAGCCCCAGAGGCAGGGGTGGGAGGGCATCTGACTTTGGCCCACGAGGCATCACAGTCTAGTGAATGTCCTCTTCTTGAAGCTGGAACAACAGTGGCCCAGTTCCTTACTTTCTTAATAGGGGCCCCTGCCTCCCACAACATTCCTGACTTCCCCTTGGGTGGGGAGAGTACAAACAGTGAGAAAAGAAAGGAGAGAATGCAGCTAGCAATGCAGCTAGCTATGTGCTCCACCTCAAGTGCTGTTCCTCTGGGTCTGCATCATAACTCACAACCCAAAGACCTTCAATACTCATGTCTCTGTGTTTTCCCCTCATCAAATAACCCATGGGGGTAACTTGTAATTTCCAAAGTGAAAAGATATTTCCAATTAAGTTAATAATCCTGGCATGTTCTCTGCTGCCTTAGTTTCTTTGGGGGGTAATTTTGTAGCTACTCTTCTGCTATCTTTTTCTTCAACCTGTGTTAAGAGAAGAGAAGACAAGGCCAGGTCATTGTCAGGAAGCTGACTTTGGCAGTGCCCCTTCCTCCCTGGTGGGTCAGAAGGTAAAGCGTCTGCCTCCAATGCGGGAGACCTGGGTTCAATCCCTGGGTCGGGAAGATCTCCTGGAGAAGGAAATGGCAACCCACTCCATTATTCTTGCCTGAAAAATCCCATGGACAGAGGAACCTGGTAGGCTACAGTCCATGGGGTCCCAAAGAGTCAGACACGACAGAGGGATTTCACTTCCTCCCTGAGAGGCCTTCTTATGGAAGGCAAATAACTTCAACTGCCAGGGCCTCAGTTTCCTCATCCACAAAAGTGGGATAAATAACTGCCCTCCTAACCTTACAAAGGTGGTCATTTAGATAAACAGATCTTAGAAACATCTTTGTGAAATTTTCGGAAGGGAAAATATAGTGATCAAAATCTTCAAATACAGGGCTTCCCTGGTGGTCCAGTAGTTAAGAATCCGCCTTGCAATGCAAGGGACACCACTTCAACCCCTGCTCTGGGAAGATCCCACATGCGCAGGACAATTAAGCCCATGAGTCACAACTACTAAGCCCACTGTAACTATTGAAGCCCAGGTACCCTAGAGCCCATGCTCCACAACAAGAGAAGCCACCACAATGAGAAGCCCACACACTGCAATGAAGAGTAGCCCCTGCTTGCCACAAGTAGAGAAAGCCCACGTGCAGCAACAACAACCTACCAGAGCCAAAAAAGAAAAGAAATAAATAGATCTTTTAAAAAAATCTTCAAATACAGTATAAAAAGTACAATTTAAAATCTTCTTCAATGTTTGGAAAAACATTCTTAAAATAACTTTTATAAGTCATCTATTTTACTCTACATGGCTTTGGAGGGCCTATTTTGATTCAATTCTTAGTATTGTTCAATATATTTTTTAGCATGAGGGCAAGGTTGGTCATAAAATGTGATGAAATCTATTGGAATGTGGGATTTTTTTAAAAAAAGAATGTGGGATAAAGTGATTCAAATAGGTGTTCATAAGACAGAGAAGACACATTAGGAATTTGATTTCATGCACATGGACAATGAACTTTGTTTAGCCAGTAGCTTTACTATTTTTCAGTAGGAACACTGTTTCACAACAGCAGGATGCGTCCTGGTCAGTTGGGTGTAAAGTAGAACGTCAATCAAAACCCCTGCGGCCCCCTCTCACCAGGCCAGTTTGCATGCCTCTTCACCTAGTCTTGTGAGGACTGCCCTGAACTAGATCCCTAGGGCTTTGAACCGAGAACTTCATCAGGTTTCTGCTAGAGGCTAATCATCAGATCAACTCATTGCAAAAGCAAGTGGTCATGCTGATCCCTTGAGTCATAAGGGCAACAGAAAGAGAAGGAAATGGTCTTAACCTCCTTCCAGGATTAGAGGAGAGAAGTTCCTGAGATCTAATGAATTTCTGCTAAATTTGGGGTGTGCTCCCCAATTGCACTTTTTCTCTACTTTTTCCTGTAATAGTCCTTTCAAAAAGCTACCCAGAAAACAAAGGGGCCTATTGCATTGCCCAGTGGTGCTCAGCCATTTAAGGCTCCCTCCTCGGTGTAAGCAGAGCTAAAGGCTAAAACTGCTCATCTGGTTGGAAAGTGAAACCTGCCTTTCCTGCCTATGTGATGTCAAACTGGCCTGATGGAGTTTTTAAATGCATGCACCGGTTATATGAGTCTATCGCACATCTTCTATCTGTTCTGGGAGAGTTTGTGGTTTGTGGTTTGGTTCATATTTCGGCCAACAGGTACTGTCAAGGGGGACTAACTTTGAAAAGTGGTCCAACTTTTTTTTCTGACCTCTGACCACTCTGAAATATTTGCCTGTCTATATGATACCATAATAAGTGATCTAAAAGTGAAAAAGTCTTTCAGGGGAGCAAGTGATTGTAAAGTGATAGCAAACAGCTTGGTTTTCTGTTGTTGTTGTTGTCATCTGCCAAGATGAATGGTTGTTCCTGTGTTGTGTAAACACACACTATCACCTCCTTTTCCTTTTTCACTGAGTTGACCCCAAAGTGAGCCACCTAGCTGGGAGACAACATGCTTTGAGTGGTAAAATTATAAACTCTGAAGCCAAGCAGATCTAAGTTTAGCTGTGGAGGCCTTTAAAAGGCTGAATAATATCTCTGAGCTTTAGTTATCTTGTCTGTAAATTGGGCATGATAGCATCTGCCTTGAGGAGTTGTTGCAGGATTCTTAGGATGCTATTGTAAATGTCTACCCTGGACCAAGGGGTCAGTGTTTCTTAACTTTTTGGTTACCTACAGATCACCTGGGGGATCTTACTAAACTGCTGACCCTGATTCAGAAGGTCTGAGGTGGGGCCAGAGAATCTTCATTGCCAATAAGCTTCAAGAGATGCCCATGAGGCTGGTTCATGGACCACACTTGGAGTAGCAAGGGTCTAGGTAACATTTGCAAAGTACGTAGCACAGTTAATGCTTAATACATGGTCATTCCAAAATAATTCAATCACTTGCTTAAAAATCACTGAGAAGAAACTATTTTCCCACAGAGGTAATACCAGTCTGCCTATAGCTCCATTCTCATAGCCTTTGCAAAAGTGCCTCATTGGGATTGGCCATGGTTGGTAATTTCTGAAAGCAGATAATGGGTAAATGGGAGAGGTTCATTATACTATTCTCTCTGCTTCTGTACATGTTTAACATTTTCAATAATAAGACTTTTTAAATGAAAAGAGATTTTTAGGGTAGTGATATCATTCTATATGATACTAAATATATATGATATCATAATGGTGGGTACATGGCATGAATTTATTCATAGAATGGACAAGAGTGAATCCTATTGCAAACTATGAACTTTGGTTGATAATGATTTATCAGTGTAGATTGATCCATTATAACAAATGCACCTCTGTGGGATGTGGATGGTGGGGGAGGCTATGCATGTGTTGGGGGTTAGGACAGGGATATACGAGAAGTCTGTACTTTTTGTTCCATTTTGCTGTGAACTCAAAATTGCTCTAAATAATAAAGTCTATTAAGAAAATCCCACAAACAAGAACACCTGTTTTCTAACAACCTGTGAACAGTAGAAGATACAGGTGTAAAAGTACAGTCAGTAGCTAAAAAAACATGTTTACTAGGGGAGAGAGGGAGATTTTGTTTCAATTCCCCCATATAAACCCATTCCTAACCTGGCCTGCTATGACTTAGGATTTTGCAAAAGTAATTAACCCATCCATCTCAGGGTTTAATATGTTTTTTC